CTTTCTCATCTTCAACAGAAATCATAGTATACACATCAAACAATCCAGCAGAAGATCAAACAATCACATCTATATTATATACGGATGTGCAGTTTATGGATTTTTGACCTTCAAATGAAACAGAAGAGAAATACTACTATAGATGAAGCATTTCATGTAGTCAGGAAAGAGCCAAATACGTCAATCGGATTGCAACTTACACCTTTCAACTGCTGCCTATGGGACACATGAAAGTCAGATGATGTAGTCCTTAACATGAGATTTAGTAGGGTCTAATTTATACAATGAAGGATGACTCGATAACGAGTACATTTCTTATCAAGCAATGTTGCCTCCTCTTTGTTTCCCCTTCCCATCCCTTCCCATCTACCCCCCTCCTCCCCCCATCCGATCCTCCCCCCCCCAAAGTTGTAAGGTTCTTGCATAGAGATGTGTAATAAATCTTCAGCACAGCAGCTCCATCTCTTAAGAACAGCATTGTTGGGAAGTGCCTAGCCTGTCCGGTACTCAAGTTGCCTTTAGAATATGAAGTCAAAGCCGGGCACTGGTGGCTCATGCCTGTAATCCTAGCTATTCAGGAGGCTGAGATCTGAGGATCAGTTCAAAGCCAGCCCGGGCAGTAAAGTCCGTGAGACTCTTATCTCCAATAAACCACCAGAAAACAGGAAGTGGAGCTGTGGCTCAAGCGGTAGAGTGCTCTCCTTGAGCTGAAGAGCGCAGGGATAGTGCCCAAGCCCAGGGTTCAAGCTCCACAAACAACAACAAAAAAAAACAACAAACTAGTAGAATATGAAGTCAGTTGTGCTGCTGATGGCGTTTATGCCAGTGCCTTTTGTGATGGAATTTCAGAAATGTACAGGTAAAGAGAAATATCTCATAATTGTATCAATAACAGTCAAACAGTTCCTGGCCTGAGAGGTCTTCAAGCATATTTCACCTTGTTGTCACATTGCTTTTCTGAAGATATTGTGGCCATGGTTACCAGCACTATTGGATTTTCCTGTCAGTGCTGCTGCCATTGTCATTGATTAAGAAATGAAACATGTTACACTTTAAAGAATCAGACTTCTAACTCTCCCAAACGTAGAAAGACCTAGCAGCATGGAGTCATTGTTTGCATATCGCGATGCTCAGCTGTAGGTTAGCTCTATGGTGGACACGGCGAGGTTTCTCTGCCAGTCTTTCTCTGAGCCACGTGGATGCCATGGTTATTTGTTGTACCGTTCCCAGTAGCATTTCCAAATGGTAGTTGTCTTAGTCTGTGTTTATGACAGAATGGTGGAGGCTGGGGCATTTACAAAGTCGAGAAAGTAGTGTCTCATAGTTCTGGGAACTGACAGTCCAGTGCCGGGTGCCATATCTGTGAAAGGTTTTCTCGATGAGGATGGCAGTAGAACCTGGAGGCAGCACAGTGCACCAGAGGGAGAGAGTGGGCCAAAGAGGCAGCGCACGGTCACAGCAGAACCTCCAAAGATAGCTACTCACCTGTGGACCCATTAATGCAGAAATGGATTAATTTGTTCAATAGGACAAAGTCTGCCCCCACTCCTCATATCCTAATCCCCTCTTAAAAGTCCCACCTGGCATCACCTCTTAATAGCTCACAATAAGGATTAAATTCAGATTATCACACTGTAGCAGTAGTGTACTCTTTCTGCATCTGTATTTCTATAAAAATGGAGAGCAGAAAGCTAGATTAAATAGAACCTAGAATTCCCTTAAAAGTTTTTGGTGTGTTAATTGCCTGGAGGCTGGTGTGGGCCCATATATATATATATATATATATATACCATTGTGATTTTCTTGTTTAGCAAGAAAAGCTGCTTTAATGTTTAAAATTATTTTGAGATCATTACAGATTTACAGGCAGGTTTAAAACTTAGCTCAAAGGCATCCTGTGTTGTGACCACAATGGTGACGTCTTGTGATTCTGGAGTTCAGTATTAGCACCAGTCACGGTGTAGACCACTTTAATCCCCGCCAGCATCCTGGTCTTGCTCTTTCATTCCACTCCCACCTTATCCCTTGCTTCCAGGAAACCACTCACCTGTACTCTGTATGCCCTATATTCATAATTTTTCTTGTATTGAGGATGCCATATTAATGTAATCACCCACCTGTTTGGAGTGGATTTCTTTAGCTCAACATGATCATCATGAAAGATCTTCAGGTTTTCAGATGCATAGAGTGCTCATACTTTATTGCTCAACGGTTATTAGTAAATAGTTATTGTTTAACTCGTTACTTATTGAAGGGAGGCTGGGTTCTTTCAGATAAAGCTGCTGCAGAACAATGTGGCAGTGGTACTCACTAGACACTACGTTAAAAATGAACTGTACAAGTGTGGGTGGAGACAGGAAGGAAAAACTGGGAGAAAGCAAGGGAAAAGGGTGATATTGTCCAGTAAGAAATGCACTCTTTTCCTGACTTACGAAACTGTAGCCTCTTTGTCCATCACCTTTTATAATACCAATAAAAGGTAAGTATCTTCTGCAAACCTTCATTTTGGAGATACAGAAACGAGTTCAGAAAAATTACATGATATATTCAAAGTCACAGAGCTCACAGTACCACCCAAACTATAGTCATAAATGGAGCTTCTAGCTCTATCCTTCCCTGGCTTTCATATACACATCCAAATAGATGTAGGGCCATCAGAGAAACATTCCTTGAGTATCCCCAGTGTCTCTGATTCAGTGACGGAGCATTTGCCATCTCCAGCTACGAGCTCAGTGAACCAGGGGACGTGAATGTGTTCATGGTCCATTTTCCTTCCTTTCGCTTCGTGTTAGTCACATTTCATTTTACAGTAGGTTTGAAATTATTGGAAAAGGAGAACAATTAGGATGCCAGAAGTGACCCCAAGTGTTTATATGCTAAAGGTCATTCATTCCAAGCACAATACTTCAAAGGATGCATTTGCACTTGTATCAAAAGAAAACCCAAAAGAGGCCTTGGAGAGCAGGGGAGGCTGTAGAGTGTGCTGAAATGCTGGAACCTTGAAAAAGGAGGGAATTACTCCAAGTAAGATAAGGAAATGGCAAGTGTTTCACATAGAACTTCAGGAAGGACAGCTTAGATTCTGCATGTCTTAAGGAAGTGTGGTTGTGTGTTTATGTGTGTGTATCACAAGATGAAAACAACTCAGCTTCCAGGCATTATTGTTTTCCACCCTTATTACACTCCATATTTTCCTGTGACATTGGATTTTCCAACCACTTCTCCATGTACAATCACGCTCCCGCCCGCTCCCACTTCATGTACAATCATGCTGTCCCACCCGCTCCCACTTCATGTACAATCACGCCTCCCGCCTGCTCCCACCTCATGTACAATCACGCCTCCTGCCTGCTCCCACTTCATGTACAATCATGCCTCCCGCCTGCTCCCACTTCATGTACAATCACGCTGTCCCGCCTGCTCCCACCTCATGTACAATCATGCCTCCTGCCTGCTCCCACTTCATGTACAATCACGCCTCCCACCTGCTCCCACTTCATGAACAATCACGCTGTCCCACCCGCTCCCACTTCATGTACAATCACGCCTCCCACCAGCTCCCACTTCATGTACAATCACGCCTCCCACCTGCTCCCATTTCATGTACAATCATGCCCTCCCGCCCGCTCCCACTTCTTGTACAATCACGCCTCCCACCAGCTCCCACTTCATGTACAATCACGCCTCCCACCTGCTCCCATTTCATGTACAATCACGCCTCCCGCCTGCTCCCACCTCATGTACAATCACGCCTCCTGCCTGCTCCCACTTCATGTACAATCACGCCTCCCACCCGCTCCCACTTCACGTACAATCACACTGTCCTGCCTGCTCCCACTTCATGTACAATCACACTGTCCCACCCGCTCCCACTTCATGTACAGTCACGCTGTCCCACCTGCTCCCACTTCATGTACAGTCACGCTGTCCCGCCCGCTCCCACTTCATGTACAATCACGCCTCCCACCTGCTCCCACTTCATGTACAGTCACGCTGTCCCGCCCGCTCCCACTTCATGTACAATCACGCCTCCCACCTGCTCCCACTTCATGTACAGTCACGCTGTCCCGCCCGCTCCCACTTCATGTACAATCACGCCTCCCACCCGCTCCCACTTCATGTACAATCACGCCTCCCACCAGCTCCCACTTCATGTACAATCACGCCTCCCACCTGCTCCCATTTCATGTACAATCATGCCCTCCCGCCCGCTCCCACTTCTTGTACAATCACGCCTCCCACCCGCTCCCACTTCATGTACAATCACGCCTCCCGCCTGCTCCCACCTCATGTACAATCACGCCTCCTGCCTGCTCCCACTTCATGTACAATCACGCCTCCCACCCGCTCCCACTTCACGTACAATCACACTGTCCTGCCTGCTCCCACTTCATGTACAATCACACTGTCCCACCCGCTCCCACTTCATGTACAGTCACGCTGTCCCACCTGCTCCCACTTCATGTACAGTCACGCTGTCCCGCCCGCTCCCACTTCATGTACAATCACGCCTCCCACCTGCTCCCACTTCATGTACAGTCACGCTGTCCCGCCCGCTCCCACTTCATGTACAATCACGCCTCCCACCTGCTCCCACTTCATGTACAATCACGCCTCTCACCCGCTCCCACTTCATGTACAATCACGCCTCCCGCCCGCTCCCACTTCATGTACAATCACGCCTCCTGCCTGCTCCCACCTCATGTACAATCACGCCGTCCCGCCCGCTCCCACTTCATGTACAATCATGCCTCCCACCTGCTCCCTTTCTTTATTTCCCTCACTCCCACCTTCACACTCATGTGATCCCAGGTGACCTCAAGTTCTTGCCTCCCACTTCTTCCTTCCCCTCCTCCATGCTGCTGATAAGACATACTTTCTCCTTGCCACCCAGGCTTTCTAGAATCTTCCTGTGTGCGTGTCTTTCCAGTTTGGGTATTCATAAGAGTCAAGATGGGGCATCAAGACCTTCAGCTGTTTATCCTTTGATCTCCTCTTAGGTATTACCAGATCCGAGTGACCTTGAAGGTGTCCTCCAGGATTCCCCACAGACTGAGTGCTTCCATTGCTGGGCAGACAGGTGAGTGGAAAGATGCCCCAGAGGCACGCCATTATTTGTCACCATGTGCCCAGCCAGAGGGGAGTGTAAACGGGTCATGGGAACCCCCCCCCCCATCACTGTCATCCAGGGAAATGGGGACGCACTGTTGGCAATGGCCATGTATGTACATTGTTGAAAGTGAGACCTGGCAGGAGAAAATCACATTCAGGAATGGTTGGTACCTAATTAGGGGAATGGGGGGGTGGGGGTAGAATTGGGAAGGTTTGGTTGCAGCCATGTCAGGGAAGAGCTGAGTGGGACACAGCACTGAGCAGCTTCTGGCAGCTCCTGGGATGGACAGAACTATGGTTACAGAGTACTGGTTATCAGCTGAGGAAGTGGACAGTCATCTCATTTTCTAGTTTCAGTATGGGATCCTAAAGCCAGCATCTCATGTGAGGAGGACTGCCATGAATACCAACGTCCCTGTCCAGGGGAACCCAGAGCGTTAAGTGGGGTTTAATGCTCTTGTTTATAATGAAACAGACTCACAAATACAGAAATGACTGTTTAAGAAAAATAGGTGTGAGCCAGGCACTGGTGGCTCACGCCTGTAATCCTAGCTACTCAGGAGGCTATCTGAGGGTTTTGGTTCAAAGCCAGCCCAGTCAGGAAAGTCCGTGAGACTCTTACTCCAATAAACCACTAGAAAACCGGAAGTGGCACTGTGACTCAAACGGTAGAGCGCTTGCCTTGAGCTGAAGAGCTGAGGGACAACGCCCAGGCCCAGAGTTCAAGCCCCATGAGTGACAAAAAAGAAAGAAAGAAAGGTAAGTGTAAGATTAGTAGACATGTCATGGGAAGAATGTGTGGACCAGAAATGCTTAAGAAGAATGAGAAGGTCTTAAAGATGGAGAAAAAGAAAACAGGAGCTGCAAAAAAATTTTATATAACATTAAAAGCAAAGATAACCAAGAATATTATAGAAACAAAATCCAGTAGAGGAAACTGTTCTGATCAGAGTTGTATTTCATAGAACTCACTTGGAATTGTCAATGAGATTGTGATGAATTAAATCATGAGTAATTAAACACTCAGAGAGGCCAGGAGTGTTCATGTGGTGGTGGACTGCTTGGTGGACTGCTTAGAGTCACTTTATAGGAGAGGTTGGGAGTAGCCAGCATTCCTCAAACCAACAAGAGGACAGCTTGGAAGAGCTGGCTAATGATGAATAAGTCAGTCTGCGATGTACAAGGAGGAAGATGCTGCTGACCTCCTGATTCTCCCCTCACTGAGCAGAGTCACTGCGAAGGATCATAGGCACCCTGTCTCCATATTTTCTCTCTGCTTGCTTGGTAATAATAGGCCAGGAATTGGAGACTTGGGAAAGGGCAGTCTCTTCTCCTAAGTAGTGTAGATGCAGGTGACTCAGGAATCCATTACCTCCCTCCTTTCTTGTCACCCTTTGCTTGGCCCCCTACATGGTGTCCACACTTTAGAGAGCAGAGAACTTGGGATTTGACAGTGTGTGGATGGACTGTGTGTGACGACTAGGCAGGGCATGCAGAGAAAATCCATTCTCCGTAGGGTTTGTCTTAGAGATTCTAAGTAAAAATGCATGTTATAGCAGTTATAAATATGAATGTTCCAGAAGAGGCTAAGTGCTTGACAGTTCTTCTTGTGCATGGCACAGGATCAAGGGTACAAAGCATGATCCTGTTCTTAGGATCAAGGCAAAAGCCCAGGGGAGGGAGCGACCTAGACAGCAGCAGGGAATAACACCAGTTGACTTGCTGAGCTCCACCTTTTTTAATCCTTTTTCCTCCCTGAGACTTTGGGCATCATGAGCTTGGTTCTTCTTTTTATTGTGGTGTGTTCTCTTGAAGCTGGCAGCCCCAGCTTTGAGGACTACAGAGTGCTGGGCATCCAAGTGCTGCTACCGGAGCCTGGGGCGGTTCCTTATAATGAGAAAGAGTTGAGATGGCACTGCAGAAAGATAAATACATTTTGAAAAATGAAATGCAATTTTAGGGCTAAACTATTTTCTTTCCTGGTCTATTCTGACAGAGGAATAATTGTGATAAGAATGCCATGCCCTTGAGTGTCCATATTAGCAGGCTATTTAGCAGAGAAGGTGAACACAAAGGCCAGCAGTAATTTATAGTAACATTGTTCTGTGGATAGCATTGGTGGTTTCTTCTTCAAGGTGAATTTTCCATTTAGAAATAGTGTTCAGGTAGATACTGCTATATTACAAAGCTCTCCAGAACCTGGTGCTTAAGATGATGGCTTATTCCTTTTGATGTTTCCAGTTGACTGGGCTTTGCAAGGATCATTCATGTACTCATGTTAGCTGAAATACCAGCTGAAGATGGGGTCAGTGTAAATTCACTCAAAGATCTGATCTCTCACATAAGGTGACTGCTCTGGCTAAAGGGAGTGTAGGCCCTGGATCCAGTTGTAGGATCAGCCCCCTTACATGGTAGCTAAGTTCAACAAAGAAAAGACAGGTCACTTGCAGAATAGGTGGGGCACAGTCACAAGGTCATCTGTATCCCATTGGTCAAGACTAGGGCCAAGGCCAGCCCATCTACAAGGGGAGAGGAAATGGACCCCACCCCTTCCTGTGAAGCACCGCCGGCATTTGGTGTGGGGAGGACACTAGCAGCCATCTCTGCAGGAACCATCCAAACATGCTCTCCATCCCATTACCTGCCAATGTTTCTGAAGGGGAAATCGGAAGACAGCACTTTTCTGGCAATGAAGGTTGTTATATTGGGCAAAGAACCAGGAAATAGCAGAATCTAATGATGCATTTAATATTCATTAGTTGAATTGTTTTGTTGGAAATGAATGATTAATTTTTTTCAATTGTAAGATTTTATTTTCATTGCCTTATAATTTATTTGTATCAAGTAGTTAGAGTAAGGGATTTCAATTCAGCACGTCAATTTATGAGTACAGTGAATCTTGACCAATGTCACGCCTTCTATTTGTTGCTGAAAGGGACACAGAGAAATTTTACTGAGTCTAGAGGAGCAGAGTTCAGGCGTAATAAGGGCCATGTATGAGCTGTCCAGGTTCAAATCCTTCTTCTACCTTGCTTGAGTTTTGTAGTTATTAATCAGTTTGTTTTGCAGGTCCTTCATACATAAAATGAGGGCTGTAGGTGCTATTTACCTCATGGGTGTGTGGTAAGGAGCAAGTTACTTATGCAAGCAAAATGACTGGAAAGGTGTTGGGCCTATAGCTGGCTCAAAATAACCATTCACTAGAGTAAGTGATGCTGCAGCATGGAGAAAATTCTGGGGCTGCACAGAATAGTGGTGTACTGAACAGCATTTTTCCTGTGCAGGTCTCAAAATACACCCCTGGGAACTTGGTGGGAAGCTACCTTCCTCCCCTGGAGGGACTCGGCTTCATCTCAGGAGGCGGAAGTGGTGGGAGGGATATGGTGTAATGACAGCGGGTGGATAAGTGCATCCATCCAGGATGGTCCAAACTAGGAGCTGGCAGCTTAACAGAAGCAGGAAGGGGTCCTGAATGTGACTTGGAAGGGCAAGAAGCTGGACGCAGGTACAAAGGGGGATTTAGGAAGAAGTAAACAGAAAGATTAATACCTCTGGAGCCTGAATGCAGTAAGATTATTTATGGTGCCAGTGAGCCAGCTGGTGTGCTGATGAGAATGGGGTCATCCCCAGAAGGGAAGCAGAGCTGTGGCTGGGTTTGGAGGCCACACAAAGGTGCAGATGAAAGAACAATTGCAAAGTAAAACCAGCACTGGCAATCCATGGGGTTTTCATAAACAAAGGGGCATTCTCTAATAACCATGTCTCTAATAACCACAGTATATGGAAGCATGTTTAAATCATACAATATGGACAGATTAGATAAAGATTCTTTAGCTGTGAAATAATGCCTGGGTGAATTTAGAAAATTTGATGTTTACGATTAGATCCTGTGACTAGAATATTATCAAAAAAATTCCGTGTTCTTAGCCTGAATATCATAGCATTTCCTTCTACAAATGCTTTTGGGGAAGACTTCTGTGGAACACTGAGGATTTGTTTCTTGCCTGAGTTAGCTGGATAGCTCCTTGAGTAGACTATAAAAACACTGGTTAGGAATAACCCTGCACTTGGCATTGCATTCTAGAAAGATCCCAGCACTCAGAACTGGACAGATATATAAACGGGTGACTGTAACCATCAGGTCTGCTGGGCTCAGGTGTAGAGCAAAAAGGGAAGTGCTTTTGGAGGGCCAGCCCTGGCATGCAGCGTACATCTAAAGGCCATGTGGTCTCCAGCAGCAGCGGAATAGAAATGTATTAACCCCAGAAGAGGTCTAATGAGTCACTCAGCCCAGGACATTCCTTGGCTTCTCCAAAACATGAAAGAGGAAAAAAGATCACTGTGATGTCTTCCTGTTACCTCATGATAGATATCCGGGGGAACTGGGAAAATGTCCAGTGGAGAGATGTGATTTTTCAGGAAGCAGGTCCTGCCGTGGTGAGACCCTGCACACAGTCACGTGAAAACCCCACCTGCTGACTTCAGAGTTACGTGCATCAGGGCCATCCCTTCAGCTTGGACCCGGAGTAGGGTAATGGAGAACTGAGTTTGAGAGATGTGAGGTTATGTTTCTGCAGTATCTGCTGCAAAATTCATGGTGGCCGTTATCAATATCAGTTAACAAAGCATCCTAACGTGGTGTAAGGACAGCTTAGGGGTGGAGGTGACAACAAACGTACTCCCAAATTTGAATATACCTGCATGCATGTTTGAATAGATAGCTGTCAAAAGGGGGAAGGAGAGGAGGATTAGGAGCATGGGGATGTGGTGGAAGGGATGAGATTTTGCTAAGTGAACTGCATCCATGCATGGAGATACCATAGTAACCGCCCCCTCCCCGTGTTGTTGGTGTAAGCTAATGAGAAGATACAGAGGGCATATTACTTTTTCTCTTCTTAGGAATAGTCAGACAAAGCATGTATGTACACATAACTGATTTTCAGCAGCATTTATGTACCTATAAATGGC